TTATTTACTTGAGAATGGTTTCATCGTAGACTAATTGACACAGGAAGTGAAGTATGGGCGTCGTTAAAGACTAAAATTTCACCTGAAACATTTTCAGATATGATAGGTATTTAAGTAACGCAGGAAAATATGTTATGCATGTGCGCTATATCTGCGTAGTGCAACAGTAGACTATGTAGCATTGAATAATTGAATGATAGCGAACAAAGAATTGGAAAAAAAAATGTACAAAAAAGCGGTGGGCTAATTTTTTCCACTTTCTTGGGAAATTTTTGTAGGGACTGAGGAGCTCCACGAACAATCTGATTCAGGATAGCTGGTCCCCCGAGAGAGATTCGAAATGGACAACTCCCGAAAACAAGTAGGAAACGTCACAGCTGTACATAATGAACATATACGTAGGTAAATAGCTTTTTAAATACAAGGAAATCACACGAAAAATACGTGTAGGCTGCTAGGGTACAATTTTTCATGGTTGTATATCGCACGAACAAAATTTGTACAATTTTACTATATTTCAATCTACAGTTATTTGATATAACTTTTTTTTTTTTAGATGTTAATACGATACAAAGCGATAATTTCACAAGTAACTTGTGCCGCTCTGCGTCTCATACACTAGCTTTTCCATTCAGAACGCCGTCAGCACATCTTGTTGTAAAACAAGCACTTTAAAATCCCTGTTGTATAAAATATTGAAGTCCTTTTGAGAGTTCCACTCCTGGAAACTTCATCAAAATTCCTTTATTTTCACTTTGGATAATATTTCTTTTCATATCTTCAGAGAATTCAGTGATATTGCGCCTACGAAATAACTTTACGGCTACATTTTTGTTTGAAAGGAACACTGTATCATCAGTCTCTTGTTTCATTTCATATAATGTCCTCTGACGTGAAAAGAGATAGCTATTACATTTGGACGATAAATGTATCCCTGGAATAACTGACGATAACGCCACTGTTATCAACCCAGTTCAGTATGAGGTATTTTAGTAAAAACGTTTTAAATTTCGAACACCGGATGAAGTAAAAATTACGTTGTAAAAATATTGTCACTTGTTAGTGAACAGACATGAGGTTTGTATTTGTAATTGGATTTATAAGTCGCAGATACAAAGAATTATAGCGCTACCGCTAATTCACGCAATTTACAATTCACTTTAGCGCGCACTAAGACTTATCAGTTCGTTATTAGTGGTTGCCTGGTAACGGATATTAACAACTTCCCTTTCTGCTGACCTCGTTAAAATCTGGCGACTGTCTCAGACCTAACCCATAGCAACAAATTCCCTCACATTAAAGCCCAAGTCAAAGTCACATTGCGACTGTCAGTCATTAAGTCTTGGTGTCGAGCCCTATCTGGGGTTCATGACCAGATATTTATTACGGTTTGACAGGTACGGTGTTGTTCTTTTGGAGGGGAGCGCTCTCTCTGAAGAGAGAGCGGGTCTATCTTCTGTATATGCTGCTGACCCTTGCCAGAGCAGTCTTTCTCGGGTCCGAGTCCCTTGGGATTCGCGATAATATTTTACTCTCTCAGATCTGAGACTTCCCTTTTCGTCGCCTCTTACGACTCGTAGGGTCACGGTGGAGGTATTCGACTCCACGACCACACGGGGGCCCTCACATTATCCAGTTCGTGATCACTATAGGACATCGGGGCGGACCCAATAGGAAACACCCTTTCCAACAGTTCTTCTCTTGTTGTGTGCAAGTCTGTTATCGCAGAAACTATATTTCACGTGTTTTTTTACCGACCGTTGCGTAGTAGCGTATGGCCTGTTTCGATTAACTACACCGTCATCGTGTCGAAATACAAAAATAACTGGCCTGCAAATATGAATGATATTAATATAAACTGTGCAGAACGTATGTAAGCAGATATACGACAATCCTGACTGTTAGAAACCGTTACTATGGAACGACTGGTGAAGACACAGAAGAATGAAAGACAGCGTGTGCTGTAATGATTCGTAAAGAGTGGAGATTAGCGACGGCACTATAATTAAGTGTAGTCACTAGTCATGTGTTAAAATAGTCAATACAACCAATCTCCAATCAAAACCTCTTCTGTAGTCATTTCCTCACTTGAAAATATTCTTTGCGTCATAGTGCTACACGTCTTTAAAAATGTATGAAAGGATATTCTTGTTACAGGGCACGCTTCTTTACAAGTCACAGATAAATGGGGAGAAGAACGCATTTTGTTACCATGATTAGGTCTCGACCTCCCAAACTGCCGTACCTTCCTGCGTTACTCGTCTTGGAAAAGAAGCTCGCTCATGTTTTATTCAGCGCAATCGTGTAACCAGACGCAACCAACGCCATACAGAGACTCTCTCGATCCCTACAGCGTAAACCCAAACTTACATTTCTCAGTAAAATGAGAACAACACGCAGAAATATCCCTTGGGACTAGTATGAAACCCTCTAGCAATAATATATTATAAAAAAATGGACTATAAGGAGTTATTCCGTAGTGCGCAAGCGCAGCTACTGCAGTATACAGCGCCTCGCGACTGAATTAAAGACATTTTAGTTGCGCGCTTTGTATCCTTCTTCGGTGTTACATGACCAGATTACAGTTCTGTTAACTATTTCTTTAAGCTATTTTGTCACGTATAAAGTGTTTGCATGACGAATAATTTTGGATTATATTGATGACTGGGTTTATTGGCATTTCTTTACAATTACAGATGATCATAAGAGCTCATACATTGAACTCCTTTTAAAAAACGTCTGTCTTTCGAATCTCCACGAGGACTCTTTTACTGTTGTCTGAGTCTCCGACTTGTCTCTAGTCTACCGAATTCTGGAGCTCTACTCTGAGTCTGAGTCTCATGTTACGACTGATGTTCAGTCGGCCAGTCTGTCTTGGAATAAAGCATCCATCTGTGGCTTGCGGCCAGCTATTTATTACTGTCAGACACTTACGGGTTTGTTGATGTGGGACGCTCTCTCTCTCTGCCAAGAAGACGGGTCTGTCGTTTACAATTACTGCTGGTCTCGTCAGCGCAGTCATTCTCGAGTCTGATTCCCGTGGGACTCGCGACCATGTTTTACTGTCTCAGATTCGAGACTCCCCTTTTTGTCGCATGCTACGACTCGCAGGGCTACGGTGGAGGTATTCGACCATGTCTCCACACGGGATGTCCTCTGTTGTCCCGCCGGTTGTCCCGGAAATCTTGTGTTTAGCAACTTGTCACGTGGTAGGGACTCATTTGTTGCTATCTGTTGTAATCTGCCTATCCGTTGCCACGGGAATGAGTGTTTACCGAACCGTTGTCCAGCAACGGTCTCTTCCGGCTTTCAGGCGTCATGTTACAATATGTTAGAATGTTACAATAAATAAACTACAAGTTATTTACATATTTGTAGCTCTGTTAACGATGATATTAGTAGGTCAGTCTATGTAGCATCATTGCAAGCATAGGCTAAAATAAAAAATTCTGTGAAGAATTCATGAGAGCTTCTCTTATTCAAATATCATGAGACGAGAACTATACATGTATAATTACACAACTCAATTGTATATTCTTCCGACTTCATTTTATGAAGTATAGAATCTTAATTTCTTTCCAGTTTTTACAAATGAGGTTTATAGAATTTGTGACTGTATTTATGATATAAACCCGTGAAAAATATCCTACTTACATGAATTTAATTATCTATTACTTAATGAAACTGACAGCTACAAAAGATATCGAAAAGTAGTTTTCCTGTCTTTTTGCTTTCTGCAAAAATATTTTGAGTTAACATTGCATATGTACGTATTTAAGGTCTATTACAACGCAAAACATTTCTATGACCATATACAGGGCAACTATAAATGATTAATTCTTTTCTACAACGCTATATTTTCCAAAGTATTACACATACAAATATGATTGATATATAAAAAGAACCATAAACTCAGCAAGCTTGTATTATGTGCACCAGTTGGCAGCACGAGTTCAGTGCCTTTACAAAATGGCGACAAAGCAAGAAAAGAGTTTCTGTTTGTTGGAATATGCGAGATATTCAACTGTTATAGCAGTGCAACGCGCATTCAAAAGAGAGTATGGAAAAGAACGGCCATGTAAACAAAACAATTTGCGGTGGTATCGGCAATGTTCGTCGCTACCTAAACAATTAACTTCGGCATCGCTGGATTGGGCGTGTTGGTGAGGATGACGTAGCTCTGTTCACTTGGCCACCCAGATCACCTGATCTAACGCCTTGTGACTTCTTCCTCTGGGGGCACATTAAGGATCGTGCTTACGTACCCCGACTGCCAAGAACACTAGTAGAGCTGAGGGAACGCATCGATGCTGCAGTGATGACCATTGACAGGATGATGCTACAAAACGTGTGGAACGAGCTCGACTACGGCCTGGACGTGTGTCGTGTGACCCAAGGGGCGCACATAGTACATTTGTAGAGTGTGAAGAAAACTTTGTGAATTTATGGTTATTTTTTATGTATCAATCACATTTGTATATGTGATGCTTTGGAAAATATAGCGTTTTAAAAACGAATTAATCATTTATAGTAGTCATGTATTATATGGTAACATTGTTCCTATTACCTCGGAAGTTCGCATTCCCGCCATGTTAATATTATTCAAAGTTAAGAGAGCGTAATCAACACACAAGACTTCATGGAAATTCTCGGACTGATTCAAATTTTATTATGGGCACAGACAGAAGATATGTTAAACTAATGACAGCACTATAAAGCAACTGTACTGAAGCCAAGGAAAGAAGTTCCTTGAATGGCGTTGCTAACGGCGCTCAAAGCTTCCCCGTTCTTCCTGTCGTTGTGTTCCTTTCGATTCCTCTCTGGCCTACATAGAGTTTCCCATAGTACTAATGGAAATTATCAGTACTAGCAAAATGACTACACAATGAAGAATGAATATAGGGTTATGTACTGGAGAAAGAAATGCTACAGCTCGAAGGGGATGGGGATATCTTTCCGTGTTCTCAGTATAATTTTCGAAGTATTTGTATTTGTCCTACCTGGCCCGTGGCTGCAACGTAGCGAGCGATTTGCGCCAAACGGGACTTGCCGAGTTCCCCCTGGTCCGGTCGGAAAACCAAGGCCTCTTCTGCAGCAGCTCGTAACTCGAAAACCGTTGTGAAATGGATGTTAAGCTGTAACAGTTGCAGAGCAGTATATATAGCTTTAAATTCTTTGAGGAAAAGTAATTATTCCCAATCCCAAGAAAGTTGCCATCCTTATGAGATGTTTTCCTTATAAGACTTTCTATTTAGAGTACCGTAGACAGTATGGCAGATCACAGTGGCCGCTCAGTCTGAGGCATGAAATGTCTTCGCCTGCTCGAACACTGGGATCGTAGGTTCGAATCCCATTCAAAGCATAGACGTTTGTCTGCGTTTATTCTGTGTTTGTATTGTCCTGTGCAGGTAGAGGCCTTGCGTCAGGCTGATCCCCCGTCCAGGGAGTCCTACCGACTCTCTAAGATTAAGAAACTGAAGGGAAACGCAGTGTTCCACGGATGCCCTATGCTCCGGAGTAGGAGCAACAGGAATAGATAGATAGATAGACAGCCAGACAGACAGACAGACAGACAGATAGATAGATAGATAGATAGACAGACAGACAGATAGACAGATAGATAGACAGATAGATAGATACACCGAGAGACAAGAATATATACTTAAGTAACATTTTAACCCCTTCCACTCAACGTACATAGTATCTCGCTTAGAATTGTCGGCATTTTGATGTTTGACGGAAATATGTGAAATGATTTCATGTACTTGTCTTGTAACTATAAATATTGCGGCATGTAGACCCGTTGCCAGGTAACGGCTTTGCCAACAAACACGAGCGCAGCAATTCCACGGCAACGGGAAGATACAACAATAATGAGAAGCCGTGTTCTTTACGCGGTCGGTGCTATAGCTACGTTATGCAACAATACAAGTGCTGCTGGGAGGTGTTTTCTATGCGATCCGTGCCGAGGATACATGAGGAGCCACCAGTCGAAAACACATCTTCCTTGTTAACGCCAAAATATATATTCTATTCTATTATAGCTCTAGAGCCTTTTGTTAGGCCTTGGCCCCACTCTCAGATGCTTGATCTATTCACAGTCGGTAGGACTCTTTGGACGGGGGATCAGCCCGTCGCATGGCCTCTTACCTCCACATAGAACGCAAACACAGGGTAAACGCATACGGACATCCATGCCGCGAGTGGGATTTGAACCCACGATCCCAGTGTTTGAGCGGACTAAGGGCTGGAACACACACAGCGACATCGGTCGTACGACGTCCGTACGGTTAATATCGCATCAAGTAGTAGAATATAAAGTGTAGTCTTAGCTTTCATGCGTGACGACATGCGACATCTACCGTACGACAGCCGGAGAGCAAAGAAATCTATTTGGTCGCTCTAGTATGAAAAGGAGGTCGTACGGCAAAAAAAATCGTACGACATTTTTCCGTACGACCGATGTCACTGTGTGTGTTCCAGCCCTAAGGCAGTTGATGCCTTAGACCGCGCGGCCACTGTGACCGGCCGTCACAGTATCTACAAGCTAACATTTTAATGAAAGAGCAGCACTCAAATTAGAGACTAAAATATATTCAATTAAAAATGTTTGCGAGCCATGACTCAGTACTCATCCAAAAGTTCTACAGCAGTGACTGCATACTGTTTCAGCAGCCATGGCTACTTTACATCCTGGCAAGAATACGGCTGTTTCGATTTTACTGCTTCCTGACTGGAATGCCAAAATTCTTTGTTTTCGCGCTTGGTTCTTGCACTTCTTTGTATTTACATAATTGAAAATTATTCTGAAATTGATTAGGCCTATATGAAGCATTATGTTTGTGTATAAATTAAAATGAGATGACTCTACACTCATTCAGTTTCATCGGTCTACCTTTCAGGACTGTAAAGACTACTAATAATTAAGGGAGCCCTGACTTCGTTACTTCCTCTGCAGACTGAACGGAACATGCAATGTGGCACTTTCACGCTTCATTACGAATTCCATTCACTCTTGCACCGCGTCTATTTCTCCGTTTCCGCAGGCACTTCTTCCAGTTCACTCACGAATGCTACTTCCTCTCCTGACACGTCTCACTTTCTGCAGTCTTCCTTGTCCCTTTTGTATAAAACATTTGTAGATTATTTCTCACAGCTTCTTGCCCCGGGTTCACTTCTAACGTGGGCCTACCCAAATCCATTCTAAGGATTAACCTGACTGACATTTCTCGTGGATTTTCTTAGTCTGTCCAGTCGATAGAAGAGCTATTATCTTGAAATAGGTCACGACCATATATTGCAGATCAGCAGACCTTATTTATGGGGAACGAAAATGCTGAGACTCCCTACATGCAAGAGAGGGAGGCTAGGATTAATGGCTGTATCCACATGAATATCAGTAATAGGTAAGTGTAAAGCTATCCCTGTAACCTGCCGTGGAGGCCCACAGGGTTGTGACACGTAAGGACTCCAATATTTTCTAGACAGTCGGTTCATAGATGATGGTGAGTTTGTCAGCCTCACGCGCCGGCCACTTTTTACACCTAGGAAGATTTCTGCTACTCATTTCTGTTAGAGACTGAATCGACCCCAGGACCATATTGCGGCTGCAAGATAAGGTCTATTGAAAAATCAAATGACCTCATAGAAAATCGAACCCGCGACCTTAAGGCTTGTAGCCTAGTGCCTCAACCAAGTAAGCTATTGCGTGCCCCATGAGTATTAGTTTTCTTTCAGTGGCTCCCCCAGCCCATTCAGGGCCCTGACCTCTTATTCAGTTCCGTAATCATTTTTCACAGACGGTCGCAAGGCCTCTACCTAAACACAGGACAACACAGAATAAAAGCATACACACACAAAACATCAATGCCTTAAGTGGGATTCGAATCCATGATTCCAGCGTCCGAGCGAGCGAAGACAGTTCTTGCCTTAGACCGCGCGGCCTCTGTGCTATTAGTACGGTTCCTAAATAAAGAACAAACTTAAGATCATTCTAGAACTGTTAAGTAATTTTGGATTGACAGATAGGACGAGTCCCGCCGTGATTATCACCATACGAGCGGATCATTTTTAAAAATGATGAAAATAAGAAAAAAAAATTCAAACGATTCAAACAATATTCCCGAGATTAAAAATCTGTCATGTTTTATTTTTGTTCATTTACGACATAATATTTTGTTAGTTTTCTTGAGGTCCATAGAGCTGAGATCTTTTGGTACCCTCTAATACTAGGAAGATTCTTCAATGTAGCTTTCGGAGAAAAATATTTTTTCCAAGAAATGGGCAGCGTAATGAAGATAGAAAATTATCATGGTACTTTTAAATGTTAATGGATAATGCAAAGACTTTTGAGTGGATGAAATATTTTGCTCGATAACAGGAATTAATATAAGAGTTCTAGTAGTTTTCACTTCATAAGTGAGAAAGAATTTATTGACATAAGAAGGATAGAGAAGGAAGATACTTACCCTCGGCTGGAAGATGTCTTCGATATTAACGTTGTTACTCTGAAACAAATACGTCATCACAAACACTCCTGAGAAGGGGTAGTCATATTCTCAAAGAGCATCAGTAAATATAAGTTCTTTAAAATCTCTCATCTGATAAAATGTAATAAAACAGAAATTAAATCCAAATACTAAGGCGAATAAAATGTCCTCGGTGTATCAGCCACGTCAATTGATTAAAAATTACCCTACATTTCAGGGACAATTTTTAACCAATTAACACGGCTAGTAGTCCGATATGATTTTATTAACTTTAAAAACCATGGAAGCTTCAGATTTTACATGAAGTCTATTTATGAACTGAAAACTTTCTACTCACTTCTCTTCGGCATAACGGTTTTCTTTCCTGTACAATGCGGTTAGGTCGCTCCAGAATTTTTTCCAGGTGGCTCTGTAAAAGACAATTATGAAACATGTACATTTGCAGACTTATAAAATTATTTAGAAAAATACGGCAGTGATTATGCATAAATGTATTTATGACATTCAATTTATTTTGGACATTATTATCTGGGGAAACGCTTTGTTTCATGTGGAATAGAGTCGTATACTTTTCTTCGGTAGTTTGTTTCACTCATCCTACTTAAGTCTTAAGAAAATAAATTAGGCTAGAATTTATGCACAAAAGCAATAATTTTATACGTATTTCCTGCGTCGTTAACTCTTACTGTAAGGAGGCAGAAAAAGGCTGAATTTATCTAAAAAAACAATATATAAAGGAAAATATCTTAATTCGATTAATAGTTCTGCACAATTCGCTCTCTTGTTTATTTATAAATTCAATAAATAAAATATTTTAATCCATTTTCTGGTTACAAATGTAAATCGACAACAACTCAGTTCTTGTAATGATTAGACCACATACTCGATGATCGGGATTCGATTCTCGTAAGAGGCGAAAGCATTTATTTTCGCCACCGCGTCCTAACCTGGGACCTCCGTCGCTCAAAATCCAAATCTGAGGGCTTCTTCAGTATCAGAAACCTGAGAACCCACCATGCCGTCATGTTCTGGGACCTGGTTAAGACGAAATGACTTCTGAATTAATTAAACTGAAATGAGGCACATTGCCCGAGGTCCTGTGCGCTTTTACGAATCCTTATAAATAGAATAACAAATGTGATGAGTATAAAAATTTGACTCAAAAACATAAAGAAGAGAGCTTCAGCCAAGACCGTTCTAACCCACAGACCCTCAAACCTTCTGAGTCTTGCGTTCCAGCACTGTTTGTCTAAAAGCACAGGCACACAGTAATAAAGACAACGTCTATCTCGTTTTCCAGGAAGTGTGTTTGTACAATAACGTATATTTAATTATTATTATTTTAATTAAAAAGGTAAAGCTGTCCCTGTAACAGGCTGTGGAGGCCCATAGGGTTTTGAGACGTCGAGGCTCCCACATTTTACAGACAATCGACTCACAGGTAGCTGTGAGGTTGTCAACCTTATGCGCCGGTCGCCCTGTAAACCCCAGGAAGATTCCCGGTACTCATTTCTGTTAGAGGTTGAGTCGACTCCAGGGCCATAGTGCGGCTAGAAGGATTAGGTTCAATTGAAAAATCCAATGACCTCATCGGGAATCGAACCCGCGACCTTCCGGTTTGTAGCATAATGCCTCAACCAACTACTCTACCGCGTGCACCATTATTATAAATATTAATTTTAAATCTTATTTTCGAGAACTCAGGGCTCACATAAAACGATCGCCAAGTTCCACTGATTGAGAAACACTACCCTACCCGAGAATCAAACCGGGTTGCTCCAGAATACGAAGTAGTCACATGACCGCTTCAGTTAACCTGCCGATATCGCCATTTATGTTGGAATAAGACAAGTATTGTGGTGAATATAACTCACAGCCTCGCAGCATTCTGTGTCCAGGAGGAATACGGCACATCGCTCGCATTTCAGGAGGTCACGGGCCTCCGTCATGATCTTCGTCACCAGGCACTCCAGGTTGTTCTGCTCCTCGAAGATGCTGCGTGCCAGATTAAGCAGGATCTGTACCACACCAAGAGATCTTAAGTGCGTGCCGTTTGTTCCACACTCATACGTAAAACATTGCGTCTTATGAGTACTCATATACACAGTCGATATAGTAATTAGGCTACGGGTTGGACATCCGAAGACTGGGGGGTTCGAATCCCGACAAAGGCAAGAGACTTTTACACCTTTTCCAGAGTGTACGGATGCCGATCACAGTGGTCGCCCGGTTTAAGGCATGAAATATTTTTATTGGCTGGAACACTGAGATCGTGGGTTCAAATCCCACTCAAAGCATAGTTGTCTGTGTACGTTTGTTCTGTGTGTAGCTAGCGGCCTTATGTACGGCCGATTCTACGTCCAAGGAGTCCTACCGGCTGTGTATAAGGTAAAAAAGGTAAAGCTATCCCTGTAACAGGCCGTGGAGGCCCATAGGGTTGTGAGACATCGAGGTTCCTACATTTTCTATAGTCCCCAGATAGCGGAGAGTTTGTTAGCCTTACACGCCGCCCGCTCTTTAACCCCAGGAAGATTCCTGGTATTCATTTCTGTTAGAGGCTGAGTCTAACCCAGGGCCATAGTGGGGTTGGACGGATTAGATTAGTTGAAAAATCCAGTGACCTCGGGAATCGAACCTGCGACCTTCCGGCTTGTAGCATAGTGCCTCACCTAACTACGCTACCGCGTGCCCTGTTGTGTATAGGATTCAGAAAAGGAGGCCAATATCCAACAAAGGACTGAAGGGCCATAAACAGATAGAGCGTACGAATCAGATTTTGAGCCCACTCAGAATCTAGATAAGGGTAGGAGGATGTGGGACGAGTGTGAATCACTTTCAGCTGAAGAATAAGTACATGCAGATACTACTCCGCGCTCCATGAGTCCTCATGGCGTGAAGATTAATTACGTAGAGGAATGAAACTACATTCTTACCTTTGAGCTAAATTTATCCTTGAGTTTAATTAATTAAGAACCACACCATGAGGACGTGTAGGGGAGTGGAGCTATAGCTCCACTAATTTTAACTTCGTCGGTGGAAAGCGATAAGTGGTCAGTCCCTCCAGCTTTACCCTCGGGGAAACAGCCCCCGGTATCCATTTTATAGGAGGCTGGGTGGGCCCCAGAATATGTCTGGATATTATAGAGAACAACCACTTGACCCTACCGGGAAACAAACCTCGACTCCTCTGTCGTCCAGCCCGTAGCCTAGAACAGTTGTACTTTTTAGTGCCATTTACACGGTTACTAGTAAAATACACATTAAAATAATGACTGTGCTTATGTAAATTATTGGAATCAAATAAAGTACTAATTGAAACTCATTTTTGAAAGGGTATATAACACATATGCAACATAAATGAAGTATTTAAATTGCGTTATACGAATAGCACAAAGTGTAAGGTAAAAAGGTGAAGCTGTCCCTGTGCTCAACGAATTAAGCACTACGCCATGAGGGCATGTGGTGGAGTGGATGTATAGATCCACATTTTCTTGATCTCAGCACTAGCTGGAGGTGAGTGGTCAGCTTCACGGCCCGGCCGCGCTTTAACACTGGGGAAAGACCCCTCGGTACCCATTGCATAGGAGGTTGGATGGGCCCAAGAGCCAGTGTGGACGATGTGGAGAAGAGAAAATCCTTGATCCTACCGGGACATGAACTTCGACCTCTCGGTCGTCCAGCGAGTAGGCAGTCGCTAATCCGACTGCGCTACTCAGACTCCACAGCAGCAAGGTGTAGGAAGGACAAAGTATACAAACAAATTTATTATGGTAAAGGGTTTCGACGCATATTAGAGAGACATCCGACAGATTAGTTTCACCAGAGAACTAGCGTAATTAATATCATGGAAGGAAAATAAGTTATAAGTACCCCGCTATAAAACCCGTGACGGGCAAATTAAAATATTGTGACGTGGATGGCGCAACAGGAAGTAGGGGTCACGTGAACTCTGCGGTCTCGCGAGTGACGTCACATACCCCAACTCCTTCCATCAGTGCCCAACGCTCGGTAAACACCCCCTCCCCCTCGGTGACGTAACAGAGGAGCAACTGTGTCGGGCAACCATTGCCGCGGTGACGTAACAAGGGTTACCGCGGTTACTACACAGCAGTAAACACCTCTCGGCAGTGTTGCTAGGCAACCTATAAACACGGTGTCATGCAATAGCGGTACCTATCACGTAACTGTTTTCTGTGTTGTCCGTGCCGAGGCTAAATAAGGAGCAGCGAACACTATTCAGTAGTGAGTAGTGAGCCAGATACTAGTGAGTGAGTTACTAGTGAGTAACGATTAACCAGTCAGTTGAATTGCAGCAGTCGCCAAGTCGGGTCGTATCGAGTGCATGGCAGTGACTATAGGAGAAGTATTTGTGATACTGCCGAGGGCAGTAATTGTGAGATTGTAAATTGTGTAATTGTAAGATCGAATGTTCAATAAATTCGCTATGTCAAATAAGGCTTGAAGTTACTTGTCGCGTGACATATACTCAACACGTGACAATATGAAGGATGATGACAGGCACCAAGTCGTAAACGCCTAATTTAGAAAATACGTTTACTCTAATCTGGGGCACAATTTTCTGCTCCTGTTACATGCAGGCATCGCAGCCGTCATAGACTTCATGAGCCATAAGGTTTAGGAAAATAATTGTTAGCTCTTCTGAGGACAGTATAGTCCTATCCGGTGTTATATAATATTAAAGTTGATCATACATACTGCTATCAATGTGTCTGAGAAAGTTACACCACTTGTAGCAAGTTAACACCTGGTTTATGATGAGAGGATCTAATAAGTTGCAAATTTCAAAATGTCTTTTGGACAGATTCTAAAGGGTTCTTACATTAGTATATACTATTCAGAATTACTCGGGTTTTGGTCTTTGTTCGTTGCCCTAAACCCCAGTATTTCTGAGTTCAAAACATCTATTGTTCAGCACAAGAATCGAAATGTTGTATTCCAGTCCGTTAAGCCGTTTTGTTCTATCAGGAATAATTTTCTCAACAGAAGGGAACAAAAGGGAAAACTTTCTTATCGGGATCTCTGACTCATTAACACTTACCTGATTCCTCCGAAATTCAAGTACAGACATTTCAAATAGTTGAGCATTCTGTATGCCGATTCCACAGAACGTCAGATACCGCTGAAATACCTAGAAGTACAAAGTTGAATATAAACGTACTAAAGTTTAAGTCCTTTTCAATTATGGTCATCTGGGGTGTGACGTCATGTAGTTTCGATATATGTTTACCAGTGGTTAGGAGAAACCAGCTCTTTCTATTTCAAGGAAGAAGAATTTTTCTACCTGAAAATGGTGACAGTACATTCCTTCGAAACGTTGATCCATATCTACGAAACTATACAGCATCGCATTCCAGATGACCTCTCACTCTTAATACACATATCTTACATTAGCGATGTTTATAATAATATAGGTAAAATTGCCCCTGTGCTTAGCTAATTAAGCGATACGCCATGAAGGCGTATGGGGGAGCGGCAATAAATTGAGGTGAGTTTCTGCTTCACCCTCCAGCCACTTTACCCCAGGTACGCATTGGATAGGAGGCTGGTTGGACCCCAGAACCAGTCTGGACCACGTGAAGAAGAGAAAATTACTGACCCTATCGGGACTAAAACTCCGATCTCTCCGTCGTCAAGCCCGTAGCCAGTCGCTATACCGACTGCGCTAACCCGGCTAGCAGGTGTTTATAATGTTGTCCATGAAAATTGAAAAGGGTTGTGAAATAGTCGATACAATTAGAAAACATAGCTGTAAAGCTTAATTTCGAGCACTTATGAACGGTTGTTGAATCACAAGTGTCTTATTCGATAGTATATTGGAAGAGTTTGTTCTGAGGGTCATGCCAACCGGAGGTGAAGCTAGTATAGAAACTGGGAATACGTAGTTATAGGCCACTAATTGGTCTACTGTACCTGCCACGGATGATAGATGTGTACGGATCATTTTATGGAATGAGAATCGATAGGGGAAATCGAAATACTCGGAATAAACCTGGCCCAGTGCCACTGTGTTCACCACAAATCCCACTTGACTTCTTCTAGAATCGAACCCAGGCCGCAGCAATCTGAAGCCGGTGACTAACCGCTTGAGCGATGATACGGGCAGATTCGTAGCCATCTGACAACATTGTTTTTTAGCGTAGAATAAGATGACAGGATGATTCTTTTGAAGAATAGGCAGGTATGAGAGAAGAACCGTTGTGACCTACTACTTCTGTTATCTTAGAGCCAACGGAGTGTTTCGTGGGGACGACAATGTAGGCGGCTACCACCACATGTCTCCTGTCAGCCACGTCAGTCGGAGAGCTTGTGTCTCTTGATAACAGAAAGGATAGTCGAGGCTTCTACGTGTAAAACCTTTGAATTCTGCAGGAGGCAACTTATACTATCCCGCTAATTGTTTCGAGATACAGACAAAAATAGTGTATATCCTGCAGTTATGTTCTGGCAAGTTCCGAAAAGGGTAACTCCCGAATATATGGACACGTGATTTGTGATTTGTGGTTTGCGTTCACGCCTCCTATTCGCCGTTATAACATGGCTCTAAGCGAGTAATAAAACTAAATTTCATTTTTATTTTTGTCTGGGACTACCGTCACTATGCCTATTGCCTTGTAACTCCGTGGCCTGTTGTCCGCAAGCAAACTACACCGAGCGAACTACGGTCGCTTATCGGCCAAACTTGCGGATAGATGTCGCGTGGTCAGTGCAACGGATCCCCACCGCCGTTAATCTCGGTTTTCTAGACCGGAGCCGCTATGTCCTTGACATAGCTCCTCAATTATCCTCACGAGGTTGAGTGGACCCCGTTTCAGACCCACTAATTCTCAGAAAATCTAGTAGCGCCGGAAATCGAACCCGGGACCTTGGATCTGTAGGCAGGAACTCTGATCACTAGACCGCAGAGGCCATATTGCCTTGTAGTATTGTTGTTTATACTTCACGCATGTCACTATCACTAGAGGATCTGTCACTCTAGAGTGTGGTCACAACGAATGTAAGGAGGGAAATTAATATACGTTGAAGACTTCTGTCTTCTGGGATATAACGCAGTGTAGTCCNAAAACAAAATGCATACCATAAGCAAGGTATACACAGTGCAAATCCAGACTTATAGGACACGTGACTGTGTTCGTTTCACTGCACTCGAACAAGGACACGTCACATTACTTCACTTGTATCATTCAAACTACTCCTAAGGCAACTTCACGTGTAACAGCTTTCCTAACCCTCTTTCTAAAAATGTTTAGTTAAACAAAGTATGGAAATCAGAAATCATCTGAGATTCTGAAAGGGTCACAATTTGAACCTTGTTACGTTCATATATTACTCTGCACTGAAACTTTACCTCAACATCATGTGTAGAGAACTCTTGGGTGCCGTTTGTCTTGTTGATAATTTGAGCCACACCGATCACCTCACCCTCGTAGTTGCATATTGGCATTGACAATATCAGGTTAGTTTTGTAGCCAGTGCGCAGGTCTATCTCGCTGTTGAACCTGGGATCCTGAGACAGACACCGACATTCAGACATCACAGTACATTATCATATTTACTCAAAGATCTACAATTGTTTCTTTTAAATTGTACACAGACCTTTAGCATACATCCTCTTACATTACAACTAATTCAGTGGAACAGGGTCCTTCTTGAGAAATTGATAGTCGCTCAGCTGGTGAAGAAATTCTCCGCCCTTCACAACCTGACAACCTTACCGCTATCTATGAGCCGATTGTCTAGAAAATAAGGGAACTTCAAATCTCACAGCCCTATGGCCCTCCACGGCGTGTTACAAGGATATTTTTACTTACTTTAAAAGTCTTCACGCCTTATTTCAGTAAGATTCATTTTAACATTATCCTTCCATCTGTGTCTAGATATCTATTTTGGTCGTTGTTTTCAAGGCTTCGAATTTGAAATTCTCTACACTTTTCTCATCTCACCACGGGTCGCAAATCCTATCAATCTCATCATCCTTGACTTCATAACGCTGTCATTAGAATTGGTTGTTATTCTCTCTCAAGCTGTTTGGGTCTGAATAAGAAAGATATTTTGAGACTATGTTTCGTAGCCCTCTTGATTATCTCTAAGAGAATGGAACTTCGTTAGGGAAAAAGGAATAGTTCCTCGCCCTCTTTATATTCCCTCCTAACCCTCTCACCAACCAGACTAACGCAGCGGCAACATTGTAGACTTTGATTAGTGAGGTACCCCGTACTGAATTTCAATTGGTTACCGGCCGGGGTTTTTTTATCATGTCTTTCCTTAAACTCTACTTACGAATGCATGGATAGTGCCGTCGACTACGTCACGGCCACCCACGTCTGAAGTCTTAACTTAATGAATATCCACAAATATCTTCCTATCCCAAATCGACACTACATAACTTCTACAGTTGAACCATTGTCTTTCAATAACTTGCCAAACCCTTAACTTTCAGTAACTAGAAATGTTCTGTCTTCTGGGATATAACGCCACGTGGTCCGTTGTAAGTCAACAGACATTTCGGAGGAACTTATTGCCTCCATCTTCAGGTTCGAAGAATAAGCAGAGAAAGGAACCAGCGTGAAAGCAGGTGGGAAACAGAGTTCTTCATGCTGGTTTTTTGCTGGGCTTATTCTTCGGTTCTGAAGATGGAGGCGATAAGTTCCTCCGAAATGTCTGTGGACTTTCAACGGACTACAAGGTGTACTATCCCAGAAGATAGAACTCTTCATAACCACCGTTATGAGAACCTCATACAATTTAACCAAGCTTTCCATTATAGGAACATTTTTCTTTATTGCTAGTGGGGTGGGATTAAGTGCCTTGTACTGCGGCCACTTCTGGCCTATTGTACCAGCCCCAGATGATAGGTGAGGGTGATTGTAGAGCAATTGGTGGAATGAAGATTGGCAGGGAAACCGAAGAACTCGGAGCAAACCTGTCCCAGCGCCACTTTGTCCACCACAAATCCCACTTGACCAGACCCGGGATAGAACCCGGGCCACCGCGGTGGGAAGCCAGCGACTAACCGCTTGAGCTATGGCGCGGCTATATGAACATGTTACTGGTGAAGAAGATTCGTCGCAATTTAATAGTCTCCGAGTCATCATCATTTTAAATGACGTCATGGATATCCACCGCAGCAGTAACTGTAGCGCTCTCTCATAATACATACATCACAGGAAATCTAATTGTCTTGAAAGTCACGAAATGTGCAAATGAGTATGAAATGGAGAAAGTTTCTGCATATTTATCAGTTACACATGTTAACAGTTGAAAACTAAAGTAATACAAGTGCAAATTTACTGCCCCGAAATTAGCAGAACTAATGGAGACCTCACAGAACCCTAATGGAGACCTCACAGAACCATAACGCTGAAAATAAAAATAGAAATGTTTAAGTTATCTGAGAATTAAGAAGGGTCTTCATATCAATGTACTGAGGCAAAATTTGATTTACATTTAGAAGCTATGCATGAAAAGAATTTTGTATGCCTACTGTGTAATTGCCGGTCAAGGTAACTGAACGGTCTAAGGTATGTACTTGTCTTCGCTCACTCGGGATCCGGGATCGTGGGTTCAAATCCCACATAAGACATGGATGTTTGGTGTGTGTGTACGATTATTCTGTGTTTGTGTTGTCCTGTGTTTAGATGGAGGCCTTGCGACGAGCTGATAACCCGTTCAAGGAGTCCTACCGTCTGCAAAAATGATCAATGGGACTTAGAAATCAGACCTATGCTCCAAAGTGGGAGCGAAGAGGAAGAAACAAACTGTATCCTTACCTAACAAATGAATCTGATCGTTGGGCGATAAGAAACAATGAAATGAAACAATCTTAATTCTCCTTACAAAGAAGTGACAATTTAAAATGAAATAGTGATATCACTAACAAGCTGCGGTCGCTCGGTTAGTATAGTTCGCTTGCGGACTACAGGCCACGGAGTATAATGATATTACTGTTCTGAATCTTGCTGAATTAGATTCATTTTATAATATAATTTTCAGTTATAAAAGGAAAGAATTCTATTATTTTGGGCTCATTAGAAAGAACTGGTATGGATCACCGTCCAATGATAGAGATTAACTCATTCTAACGGGCTCAGCTAACTAATATCCGTTCAGTAACTGAAATATTACGTGTATCAAATACGCCTCAGACGAACTGCAATGTCTAACATAATACTGGTACGCTGAAATAATTACTGCGGCAAAATGAGTAGAGAATCATAATTGCTCAGTTGTGTCGCCTATTAAATTTTGTCTTAATATCCTTTACGATAGCGTAGTTGGCTGAAGCACTATGGGAAAAGCCGGAAGGTCACAGGATCGAATCCCGATGAGGTGGATTTTTCAGTTTACCTAATCCTTCCATCCGCACTATGGCCCTGGGGTCGACTCAGCCTCTAACAGAAATGAGTTCCAGGATTTTTTGGGGGGTAAAGGGCTGCCGACGCGTAAGGATGACCTCAACGCCATCTATGAACCGATTGTCTAGAAAATGTTGGAGCCTCGACGTCTCACAACCCTATGGGCCTCCACGGCCTGTTGCAGGGATAGTTTTACTTTACTTTACTTTACCCTTTACATAAACATTCAAACTAACATCTTTAACTCAGGTCAGAGTTTCAAAGATTAGTTTAACCAGGCCGGTAATATTTCACGCGATCTTTACAGACACGATAGGGAGGCTGTGACAAATAGAATTCGTGCACATGAATATTAATAAGATACGTATTTGTCACGTGTTTTGTTTTTATATACTTAGAAGTTTATGACAGGATCAGTGTAAAATATGAAGAAATATTATTCCAACCTGATTACTTTTAGTTCAAAACCCTCTCACCGTTATTACATTTAATCGCAATCCGATAAGTAGTCTTAAAGATGAAATATATGGNTAATTTTGCTCGAATTACTCTTTCAACAATATCGCTTTGGGTTCCGTATAAATTAATTTACGAACATCAGGGCTTGGAGCTTTGTATCCTTTCCGTTCTACTCTAACAGAGGCTGCTCGTTCCAGTATGGACCTTGTTGCTCTAGGTGCATGGTCCAGTAACTGTTTTGGAATGTGTTCAGATTGCTTAATTTAGGCACGATTTTGAATTCAATTCACGTTGAATAGGTACAAGCACCCGAATCACAATACATTCATATCACACCTATTGTGTTTCCTTGCGCAACTAACATTATGTTGTCAGCGTGGTCGGAATACAATTCTTGTTTCGTATTGCTAACATATTCCTACGCTGTATCCTGCTCTTGTCAGCGTTTTCCTTATAACGCGCTTAGGATATAACGATTTCCGTGCTACGAAAGTCCATATGCTACATATTCCTTAACGGATAGCCTAATTTAATTTAAAGTTATATTACGTTAAGTTAACCGTCTCTGTGGTCTAGTGGTCAAGAGTTCCTGGCTACAGATCCAGAGGTTCGAGTTCGATTCCCGACGCTACTATATTTTTTCGGAGAAGTAGTAGGTCTGCAACGGTGTCCACTCAGCCTCGTGATGATAATTTTGGAGCTATTTCAAGGTAATAGCGGCTCAGGTATAGAAAACCGAGATTAACGGCCATGTGGATTCATTGCGCTGACCACGCGACACTCTCTATCTGCTAAAATCGGTACTAACTTCGCCGACAGGCGGCGGTCGCTCGGTCGGTATAGTTCGCTTGCGGACTAAAACCACGGAGTTTGTTTTTATTCACCGGCTCTTCCAGGCCATTCAGTTACGTAATCATTTTTCGCTGACGGTAGGTCTCCTTGGGCGAGTGATCAGCCCGTTCCAAGGCCGATACATAAACACGTGATAACACAAACACAAAATAAACGCATACACACACCAAACATCCATGCCTTAAATAGGATTCGAACCCACGATCCCAGCGTCCGAGCGAGTGAAGACAGTTCATGTCTAAAGACCGCTCGGCTTCTGTGACCGGCTGGTTAGGTTATGCCTCATTATACTAAGTAAGGTTAGGTTATGTTACAGGCGTACATACGCATTCTTTGGCATGAATTTAATCTAAATTAGTCAGAGTAACTCAGCATGAAGCCGGTCACGGTAGCCGAGCGGTCTAAGGCATGCACTGTCTTCGCTCGCTTGGAAGCCGGGATCGTGGGTTCGAATCCCACTCAGGGCATGGATGTTTGTGTGCGTTTCGCTGTGTTTGTGTACAGGTAGAGGCCTTGCGACGAGCTGATCACTCGCCCAAGGAGTCCTACCTTATGTGTAAGATCGAGAAAAACAGAAGTGAACCGAGAGGTTCATGGAGGTAGGCCTAGGCCCACTGGGGCTGTAGTGCCAAGGAAAAAAAAACTCAGCATGAATGTGGTTAATAAACTCAATGCTAAGTAAGCTAACTCAAGCGGTAACGGTTAGGGCTTGTATTCGGGAGGTCCCTGGTCAGAATTTCGGCCGGGGCACCGATTATCCTGACTGAGGGTTTTTGCGGTTTTACTCAGCTCCAGGCCTGTTCTGGAATAGTAAGCCGAAAATATTTCTTATCACACCCTT